AAGAAGTCGTTATCTTTGTTGTTGCGAAGCTTAGTTTTTTTTTTTTTTTTTTAAATTGGCAACAAATTCACTATTCTGCCAAGTTTCAAATGTAAACAAGTATGGCTGCCATGCTTAACACAAATTAGGTTTAGCCGCATTTAAAAGGCTTTTAAATTGTTGATAATTCCACAATTATAGCATGCAAAAGTAAAGGTATAAAAACCACGTATTCTTTACGGATGAGCATCAGTTTAATATCCAGAATGATTCCCGCAGGGCAATGATATGCATAAAATCACATGACCTGTGGTTTCTGTTCCGTTGCCCATATGGCATGTCAGAGTACAGCTGAATTGGGCCAGTGAATATCTTAGTTGGACAACAGAGCAGTGAGATCACATATTCTTTACGGATGAACCTCAATTTAAAATCCAGAACGATTCCATACGGCAATGATGTGGAGAGAGCCAGGGACACACTATAAGGGGCCAAAGATCATCGAAAGAAACCACTACAAAGAGGCCTTACTCATACATGCTGATATAACAACAAAGGGCTTCACCGACCTCTATGTCATACCTGACCATGACACTTCTGTAACAGCAGTCGGATATCATGACAAAATTCTACACCCTCTTGTGCACCTTTTATCGCTGAAATGGGTACCAATGTGATATTTACGGATGATAATGGCCATCTGCATAGAGCTCAAGTGGTGCGGTGTTATCTGGAAATGAAACTATTCCACATCTGCTGTGGCCTGCTAGACCACTAAACTTGAATCCTATTGATCATGTGTGGGACGTGGAATAACAGACAGCAGATTGCAGTGTGCCACCAGACACCTACACGTCTTCCGACATGCATTACTACAGAAAGGGGTAGTACTGCACAACAAGCGATCGATGACACTATTGCCAGCTTACTTTGCTGTTGTCAAGCAAACATTCAGCTAAATGTTATCATGCCTATTATAAGTGTGATGTTCCTATTCAATATTCTGGCAACCCATTTGGTCTTTTACGATATAATGGTCATAATACATGTGTTTTTGTATGTCTTTGCTTTATTATTTGTTAAGAGGTCAAGTAATGCCACACCAAACTCTTGGATCAATTTCAAACATATCTATTAAATAGTTATTGCTTTATTCCATATTTTGCTTTTTTTTTTTTTTTTTTTTGTGAGCAAGAGTGTAACTTGCCACCAGGGAATCTCAGTTAATAAAGAAAAAAACTTAATTTTTGGCACACCTGTCTTCTTTTGCTGAATATTATATTCTCCATTCCTATATTCAGCAGGGAGAGGAATTTGTCTTGTTATTTTATTTACATATTTATTTGCTTATTGGATTGGTGGTCCAGAGATATATGTATATCACATTATTCTGGACATAAGACGTCCAGGTTTTAAACCATATTTTCTAAACTAGATTCAAACCTGCAACCAGGTTCCAGATTAAGAAGTTAACTGCAAACAAGCTTGAGTTAGTTTTCACTGATATTTAAATATTTGTGAATTTTGTACGTGTAAATCCCACATATGTATGTGTGAATTTGTATCCGTCCACGTTGCATCGCCTTGATTAAGTCCATTCACAGAAGCTGACTAAAATGTCTCAGGATTGTCTCAAATGGACTCCATGACAATAGGACATTGTACTTTTTGCTGATGAACTTGGTCGTTGTCGATCTACAGAATTGCTGGAATTAGACGTCATGCCAAAAATGTTTACAAAATGTATGCAGAGGAGAGGTAGGCAAATACTTTTAACACAGAATCAAAAAGGTCTTTTTAATCCATCATGCAGGAAGGGCCATCATAAGATATGATAGTGCTTGTGTGATGATGATTTATTTTGTGCTGCCACTGTTGTCCAGGATGTGATTATGAGACAACGTCCCTCCCCAGAAGAAATTTAATTTTTTTTTTTTTTTTAAATAGCATTTTATGAATTTCAGTTTCATATTTTGTCTTTAAAATGCACAGGCCAAGGGTGTGAGCACAGAGTTATGACGGCCGTGCACGCGGGTCAACCAATGAAAACAAAAATGGACACATAAGTTTCAAGGAATATGAAGGAAAAAAAAGGCATTGATGATTAGTAAAACATTTTTAATAAATTTATAAGTTTGCATACATTTTTATTTTTATTACAATCACTGTAATGTAAAAATAATTGTTAATTAACATACACTTCATCGGCGAATAAGGAATATTTATTTGCAGAGTTTTCATGAAATCTCTAATATTAACTTCCATAATCCAAATTAGGTTCCTACTCACTTGTAGCAATCCTTAATATTCAAATGTAAATTTTTAATTAGTAATTTGCTATCGATATTTATTTTCATGTACTTCATTAACAAAAATGTTCTTTTACATAAATATGACATACATTTGGTCTTCAAATCTTCTGCCAAATTTAACTTGCAACTTTTTTATTATTTTGCCATTCTTAACTAAAATAATCATTTCTAAAGTTTTATCATGGCACACTCATGCTGCTGATTTTGGTAGCTTGAACACAAAATCAAATAGGAAAGAGATGAAAATTTCATTGCACAGGATTTCATAATCAGTTAGAATAAGCAATTTAAAGAGCCACATTCAGCCCATGGGCTAGTCTTTGCTCACCACTGACAGTGGTTTAACAATATGGGCAGGAAGTGCTGCTGGCAGCCACACTGATTTCTACCATTTTCTTATGGTTGACATTTTCATAATGAAGAAGTTTACAGGTCATTACTGGCACCATAGACTAGTATTTAATACAGTGGAAAAAAAATCTTCATATGAAATGACCACTCAAATCCATCCATCATGGAGGACTTTAATTTCTCTTCATGAATCTCACAACAGAGATATCTCAAACTACTACACATGATCTTATTTCAGGCATGAATCAGTCGATGGACAGACTTTTCAGCAGAAGTTATTGCGCTCTGGTTTGACAGACCTCTACCAAAGCCCCTGTATTCTTTATTACTATTATTATTTAATTATTTATTGGTTCTTTTCTTTGCATTTCTCCATGCAAGTATCTTTAGTTATAGTCAGGCTTTGTTCACATTTTTGTTTAGGTGAATGTATTTGTGAACTCAAGTATACAGTTTTGATGCCATGCCTTATGTCGGCATGGCCTATGGGTTGCGCTTGGTTAGAGATTCACCCCCCTCCAAATTTTGCTGTTTTCTTTATACAGGCAAAATGCTTTGTTTTACTCTTTTTGGGGGGGGGAGAAGAAGGAACGAAAATTTGTTTTGTTATTAGTCCTCGAGGATTATTCTGATTCTCAGTAGAAGGTGGTAAGTTAACTTACTGTTTAACTCCAATTTAATCGGTAAAGTTTAGTTTTTGTTACTTTTGGTCAGTTTAAGACATGGCTACTTCCAAGTAATTCTTAAAAAGTTGTTGCCACTGTAATGACGACTCAGCGTTAACTTACAAGTGTGTAAGAGTTTCAATGAATTCTTATACATATTTTTCAATTTATCCTCTTTTCCATTTTCTTGCTTAGATGTTTAGGTATGCATGTATAATGACAAGCAAGACAGTAAGATTAAAGGGAGGGGGGAGAATTACAAAATTTAAAAGTTTGATATTTCCGTACAAGAACAATGCATACACATCAAAATAAAAAAGAAAAACATTCTGCATATAATATGAATGAGAAGAAGAAAGATTTAAACTAATGAGCTATTACAAAATTCTTTTGTATGCTTTTAATTAACAGCTTCTGAGATAATGCCTCATTTTTAGGATATACATCTACATGAAATAAATATAACTCCTGATCTTAGATATGGTAAAAATAAAATAAATAAATAAATAATAATAATAAAATTTATTACTGCTAAAAGATATGTCCTTAATATTCTAACTGATATAAAGTAATCATTGTAAGAGAAAATCATACCATTCATGCAAAACATGTGGTAGTTTTATTTTAAAACAAAATTTTTATCAGTATGAAATTATACTCTCAAACTAACATAATAAACTATATATAAACATTGAGTCATCCAGAAGTTCTGCGATTTTACAAATCAAAGCCTGCTTTGTTCTAATTACATTGTTATTGCTGATAAGGAGTTATCTCAATTAAGGCAAATGTTTAAGTACAATCTTTTATGCTTTCTTTAGTCTTAAAAGTGGAAATTAAGCCTAAAAGATGCTGCTTACCGTGAATAACTTATCTTCTGTTCACAAGAACCTATTAAATTAATACCGCTGAAAATCCATGTTGTACAGTTCAGGAATTATATGACAGAGTAAATATTTCAAATAGCACAGTGCATGATCCTTTGAAAAAGACTGCTACAATATATGGCTACTGCATATCTTAACAGAGATGAATAGGCTTGCTCAAGTTATGGCATGCCATTCTTTGCTGGAAGACGTAAGGAAGCTCCACTTATGCAACGATTCATTACTGGAGATAAGAAGTAGACATTACAAAATTATGTTACTAGAAAACTTACTTGTTACTTCCTTTAGAAATACTGAGAGGGGGGCTGTCATATAATATCAAACACAAGATGCGTATGGTGTATTTGCATATGGTGGGATTACAAAGGAAACTAAATTATTGCTACCAAATCAGACAACAAATTCATAAAAATATTACCCTGAATGACATTTTTAAATGCAAAAATCTAAGCAAAGCATTCAGAATTGATTAATCGCTAAGACGTTGTCTTCCTTCATGACAGTACTTAGCCCCAATTTTAATGAATATCAGACACAGACTTCCCAGCCCTTGCTTCTCACATTTTCATCTCTTCAGATCACTTAAAAGTTCTCTGACTGGCTTGGAATTCATTGGAGACAATAGAACAGCACCTTAATAACTTCTTTATGAATAAATTTAATGACATTTATAAAAAGAAATTTTCTAGCTGGAGGTATGGTGAAATCATAAAACAAAACTTATGTGATTCAATGAATATATATATACTTTTAAAGTTTTTGCACTTTTCATTAAAAAAAATTCACAATTTTACCACATAACTTACCAACATGAGAGCCTGCTGGGGATGAAACAGGAGGTGTTACTACTTTTGGAAGTTGAGGAGGAGGAGGAGGAGGCAGAGGAGAAGGTGAAGAGGGACGGAGTGAATTTGGCTTCTTTTTCTTTTTGCCTCTTTTAGGTGGCCTAGTTAAAGCTGAAGGCTTTGGTTTCTTCCTAGGTTTCTTTGGCTTCGGCTCAGACGCCATTTTATTATAATTATCCTACAGTATGAGAAAAAGATGGTTTATTATCATTTAAAAAATTAGAACATTTAAAGATCAACTAGCAATACAAATAGCTGCAGAAACAGTAATGATGATAATTTTATTCAAATTCATATTAAAAACATTAAGCATGAATACCATTTATGACTTCCAATTTAAATTTACCAAAGTACAATGAGGTAAGATAAAATTAATTATAATTAAATTTCATAAGATAAAAATACTTTAAATATATACCAGACTTACATAAATAAGCTACTACAGTACAAAGTCTGTAATCTGAACTCGTCGGGACTTCGTCGATTCCGGACTAGAGGTTTTTCAGGATTATAGATCAACTTAAATGTGGTAAGATGGCATGCGTACAATTAAAAATATGAAACCGTAATTTATGAAATAAAGAGCAATTATGATCTAAGAGTATCAAAATTTACAAAAAAAAAAAAAGCTTAATATTTATTTGTTTACTTTATTAAACATTTCTTTCAATGTAAGTTGTTTCGTTTTTTTGTGCTTATACTTTCTGTTTAATTCTATAAACAGACATAATTTCTTGTTCAGTTACAAAGTTCCACTGTTCAAGTCCTGTAATTGCTGTGTCGAGAATGCCGACTAACTTGACAACATCGAAACATGCTTTCCCTTTGTAGATCCTTTGGCAGCTCCAGAATTGGAAACTCTTTTTGACATAATTGAAAGTTCAAGCTTAATTTTTATAAAATTGCTCTAACAGTCTGCAAAAAATAATAAGCCAGATCCAATTAGAAAATTAAGGAACAGAACAATCTGCAACATTAAGTGAAATGCCTTAGAATCAGTAAAGATAATTTTAGCCTGGCTTATACCATCCGTTATACATTAAACACGCATGCGTAAACGCATTACGCACATGTGTAAAGCAAACAAACAAACAAAAGTTTGTGGCTTTGAAGTCCGGATTATAGATCATTCTGGATCTTGGACGTTCGGATTACGGACTTTGTACTGTATAATATAAAAAAATATATTCATCAGATTTCATGTAAAATATAAAATACTGTCCAATTTCATGCACAATTCAATAAAGATAATGAAACATAAAAATGATCAAATGAAGCTTAACGACAGATTAACACTGGTATGCTCAAATGCAAAAAAGGAACATATATGATCCTACAAGGCAGCAATGGTCAACTGGAAGCCCTCAGACAGCTGCAGCCAAGGCAGGGTTCATATAACTGATTGTTATTGCATTGAACAATAAAATACAGACTCGTATTTATATCTAAAAGTAAGTAAATCAATTTGATACAGTAACTGACGTTTAAAAAGAACATTTCACAAATGAAGCTTCAAAGAATAATTATACACATATCATATTCCATGATTATCCCTTAAAATATTTTAATATCCTCCTTCATCATGCTGGAATTCAAGCAGTGCAGCATTTTATGCTTAGATGTCAATGCTTAACATTACTCAGCCACAGAAGATCTAGAACTCATAATTGTTTTTATTGCTACTGACCACGAACTTCTTGAAATTCAGTCATTATTTCTTTCTTCATTTCATGATTTCTTTTTTGACAGCATACAGTAGATAGATTTTACTTGCTACACAGAATTTCAGTAAGAGAATACTTAATGCATACAAATATGCTCAATTTATATATAAGATAGAAAAACATTAACTGTAATAAATATCCATGCCTCTATGGTGCTCCTGCCTGTGTTAAATCTTGTAGTACGTAACACACCTAGAGATCACTCTAGCCTAAATTTAGATTTAAAGCTACAGAAATTAATTTAAGGTTTGTACGCATTTCCGCACATGAAAATTACTTTGAAGGAACATGAATGAAAAAAATTAAGGACCTATCAGCAAAAACGAGCTGAATAAACTACAGTAATTATATACACCTCGAACTTCCCTTTTGTAATTTGTAAGAATGAAATCAATCAGCAAGTAGGCTATATTATTATTATATACGTACATAATCTAATATTTAACTTAATTATAAAACAAATTCAAGAATAAAATCAATTTCATAATTTTTTCAAGTAATTAGTATTACATTATAAAATTTCTTGAAACACTTATATTTTATACTTTTAACAGCTTCCCATATTTTAAAGAAGACTAGTCACTTCATATTTAAACTTTACTAATCAGTTAGCTATATATTTATTATTTCTTTTATGCCTCATTTTGTCATGTATTTCCTGAGCTCAAAGGTATATGCAGATTTTATGTCTGGCACAAGATGAAATACTGCATCCATGGAAGTAGGAAGTAAGATAGAGTGGCCCTAACCGGTTTCCCCGATACACTGCTTTGAAGCACTTGGCGATCCCTTTCCGTGGTGACCAAAACATTGACTGACTTACCATTAAAATCAATGGGTTTTGACACGATTGTATGTAAATATTCTGTAATTACGTCGTATATATATATATATATGTAATAAATGTACATATTTTCTTTTTCTGCAATATTTCAGAGTCTAAGTATATGAAAAGAATGCATTATTAAACAACATTTCACTCTGAAAGGAATTAAATACTATACTTTTCACAGAACGATTGCTCAGAATGGTTTAATTTGAATGAAATATTTTCACAAGTTTTCGTTAATTACATTAAAAAAAAATTTAAGATAATTCGATTTTATTCGGTTAAGGATTATAAAAATTATGATAAAAGTTATTGTGTTATTAATATTAAAATTATGCATTATTTATTTTCTATTTATAGAGCTTCTTCCTAAAATACTTTCTCAAATATGACATGATTTTTTAGCTTCTGAGGCATCTTTTAAATCAAAAAATCTAAGTCAATTTATAATTAATGCTCTATTCGGTCTATTTCAAATTAGAGCACCTTTTATTTTAATAGCGAAATACGTTAAATAGTACTTAACTTTCTCTGAATATTTCTGAAAGGGAATAAAAAAAAATCTGATGTGTACACCACGACTTCCTTGCACGGATATAATTATAAGCATTTTCTCTTGCATTTCATTTAAACTTATTGGATTGAATTAAATCTACTTTGTCGATAGCGCATAAACCACAACAGAATAAATGCACTCTTTAAAATTCACTATATTTGTTTACCATAACGACACTCTCAAACCAGGCTCACTTAACAGCGTTACATTTCGTTCATATTATAACTCAGAATGCACAAAATTTATATCATATCATTTGAAGAATTATCTAGTTGTTGCCACATCTTCTATTCAACTACTATAATAAATCTAAAATGATGTATAAAAGAAATTAAGCAACCAAAACAAAAAAGAAACAGTTTTTCACAGAGGATTGTGTACTTCTAATTCAATTAATTCAGTTCTCACTTCGCGACAAGGCAAAAATACATAAAAAGTCAAAATATCTGTATTAAAAATTATGAAGTAAATCTTAAACACTTATTTCCTCGAAAAAATTCCAGAAGGGATTAAGCATGATTTAATTTGCAATAATAAATGAAGCCGTTATCTTTGTTGTTGCGAAGCTAAGTTTCTCTAGATTGGCAACAAATCCACTGTTCTGCTGTTTCAAATGTAAACAAGCAATGGCCGAAAATTGTCGATAATTCTAAAAATATTACATACAGATTTACTAAAGCCATAAAAACCTTAACCGGAATATAAGAACAACATAATTCAATCATTTTTAAAGCAAAAAATGCACAATTTACAAACATATAAGAGTAAAGAAACTGAGCTCACTGAGCCAAGTAACAGAGTGGATATATATATATATATATATACATGTTTATATACTTTTAGTGTGGCCGATTGTAACCAAAATACGAGGAGCACATCTACATGTTATAGCAGTCCTACATACAAAATTTCAATGTTCTGATGCTACTTGTTTTTGAGTTATGCGAGATACATAAGTCACCATGAAAAATTCTCTTTAGAATTCATTTTAAATCACTTTTATAATTTTTTTGGGGGGAAAGAGTCCTTTATTCTGTGCTTACTTGCAAATGTCATGCAAAAACATCATTAAATTTCATTGGATAGCGGTCAAAATCGATATTTTCATTGAAATATGATACCTGACATTTTTCGTGATTACAATATTTTTTACTTCGTACAAGGAAGTAAAAAGGATTGTTTTTTTTTAATATTACTTAAAACTTGTAACTGAGTTATTATAAAATGTAAGGGAAATAATTCTTTTAATTATACTTATCAGAATTTTTTTTACCCTTAATTTCAACAATACATATTCTAAAACTCTTTTTTATTACTTTCTTATGTACGCATCTCATAGAATTTGGTTTACAATATATTTTAAGAGATTGCTTTTTAGTACAAACAATTAATAAGAAAACCATTAATGATCAGACCTCCTTTGGCAGGATACACAAATGTTTTCACCTCCAACGATCACCCTATTTTCAAATCCTTAATAAGCTGTCTTTTGATGATGTGACACGTTCACATGGTCACATCATCTTGACAGTACATGGTACTTCTGCCGAATTCGAAAATGTATCCATCTTCTGTTCCATACATTTGTGTAAAACTGTATGTAATTTTACACAAATGTGTGGTTACAAATCAAAGAAAAGTTAAGTTACTGGCATATCTGTGTGTATATTTATTAATTTTGACGAGGATGGCGGCATTTGGTGTTAATTTTATTTTTTAATTAACCCAAATAAGTAAAACGTGTAAACCCAAAGTGATTATTTTCAATTTATATAAAAATAAAACTATAAGTTTCAAGTGAGCAACTATAAAGCCTCTCGTCTAAAAATTTTTAAAAAGTACATGTCACAATAATATGTGGATGGCTAAAAAAAAAAAAATTTTATTTAAAACATTTTTGTGCTTGGAACATAAGATAAAAGTAGCGAATGCTCTTTCAAGGGTATCAAAAGATGTATACAATTTTAAAAATACCGTAAGGTATTTTTCATTCTTTGAGCATAACATTTTTGCTAAACTCTATAATTTTTTAATTCAACAGCTTAGAATTTTATAAAACAGATTCATAATTAAAATCGCTGTTGTTAGTTATCGAAAAATAACCAAAATGTGATTTTTTCGTAAATGTCACTAAACTATACAAATTTCTATTATCCATCACACAATGTGTCCCGTTTTTCAACTTGTATGGAACTGTCGTGTATTGAAATACTATCGAAGCGCTGTCAAGGGAGCTTCTAAATGTAAACAAAAAACACCTTATCTGTAGATCGAAGCTTTGGAGCAATGTTTCACTCTTAGTGCCGAGCTGGCCACTCCTTCCTTTCTTACCCCCATGATTGCATCTAATAAGTTAGGTTGCCTAGCTTTTCATTCTAATCAGAAACAAATAATATCTAATTATGAAAACCATACTTTCATCAATTATTCTTCTACATTTTTGTTAATTAAAATTTATCATAATACATAAAAAGTGTCTCATTTAAGGCAGCCTTATTCTCGAGTAAATATGATTCATTCTTCACCATTTTGTGAAATGTGTAATTAGTATATTTTGTGAATGTGAAAGGCGTACATTGTAATGTTGCTATATAAAATTCCATTTATCATCATGTATCTGGGTTTTCTACACACAGGACTTCAATTCTTTAAAAGACTATATTATCTATTTATATTTCATCATGATAACTGGGTTATCTTGGACTTTGCTCTCATGCTTCTGACTCGCCAGCTCTGAATGTACAACTTTCTCCTCATTGGTTATGCATGATCCAAAATAATATTCATAATTTCCATACAATAATTTTCTGCGCCACTAAACAGAAGTGCTATTACTGCCTTTTAGAATATGAGCTACTAATTGTGTTTCAGAACTTTTATCACACACTTAATAACACATGACTATAACATATTTTACATGAAATGCATTTCTTATGGGAATTTTTTTATTATTATTATTATTATTCAGCCACCCAAGAAAGCATTCTTAGCAAAAATTTGAGAACTGACAGCTTGTATCAAGGTATCGTACATCAAGAATCTACTCAAAAATACAGTAAACAACACTGCTGCTTTTCTACCAACAGTGCTTGCTTTCAATTTACAAAACAGCAGATAAAATTATCATTAATGCTTCTTTATTTTGAGTTTGAATTCAATGCTCAGGAAACATAAGCTCTTTGCACTGCTGGAGGGATATTATTATTAATTAAGAAACATCAGAGAAACTGGTGGAAAAACTTTGAAGAAAACTGCTTATTTTAGGTTAAAATCAAAAACGATTTTTCTGTAAAACAACAATAAACATCAGTGTCTTGCACATTTACAAGCACTTTTTTGGGCATAAAGAATATAATCTCACACATCACTGCACTCAGCACTATGCAACTAAAAACCAAGATACACTAGGGAAGCCTGTGCCATCACTGTACTTGATGTGAAGATAAAATTTATTGCTCAAAAATCTATTTTTAAAAATTTAGGATTGCTATAAAAATGTTCATTTTTTACAAATTTACAGATGCCAAAAAGTTGGCTAAAAGTTACCAAGTTCCAGTGCTCCATTTTCTCTTTCTTCTGCTGCCAAGGAAAAAAAAATGTTGTGATGATTTTAAATATTTCAAATGAAGAGAGTAAATATATATGTACATGATCAATATGAACAGGATAACTATTATTTTAGGATGCGATTCTAAATATCGGCTACAGAAAGCATAAACCTGAAGAATCAGCATATATCTTACAATTAGCCTTCATGTTAACAGCCAACTACCAACAAAAGTTCAAAACAAAATACAATATTTTCATTTGCAACAGACACAATAAGCTTTCACCTAAAAAGAAACACCTCTGCGGAAACTAAGCTAGACTGATTCATATTTATACTAAAGCCAGAACTTAACTTTGCACATTCAACCACCAGCAATCAAACCAGGACTCAACTATCAATGCTTCACAACTTTAGCTGTTATGCTAATGGGGCCTAAAATGTTATAAAGAGTAAGATCACAGAGCCTTGCTTCTATACTTGCCTTATGAATTGATAAAATTCATCAAAAAAATGCAACTAACATATATCTGAGGAAGGAAAATAAAATTAGAAGAATTTACAAAGACAAATTAGGGGGGATACAAATATTATTAAGGGGGCAAGGTTATGCAGAAATGAATTTTTTTTAAACTTTTTTTATTGCTTTTAAAATTTATCTTGTGTAAACCCAAATTAGAGCTCTAAATATTTTCATCGAGTCAAAAATGACATTTCGATAGGACACCTCTGAAACAGGAATTTACGACTCAAATGGATGATTTGGCAGAGCAGGAAAGCATATTATATGGCTCTGGTATTGCAGATAAAGCATATGTAATGGTATATCTTCTTAACAATTAGTTGAATACTATTGTTTCCTATTGAAAACTCTAAACATGTTTTTCTCAAGACTTTTTTAATGTGTGGTGCAACCTAATTAAAAAAATTAACTGACATACTAACTTCAAATTTCACATAGATATTCTTTAACTTACTGACCACGTCTTGAATCTAAGACTAAAAATCAATGCTGTTTATAACAAACTGTGTATATATAGTTTGTTATAAACAGCATTAATTATATATATATATATAAAAGTATATTATAATTTAATGAACCTTTTCTGTCTTGCCTTGTTTCAACTTATCAGAATGATTTTTTAGAATCGTGTTGAATGCAAATGAGGAACAGACAGTATTGAACAAAAGTTAAAGTTCAACTGACTTCGTGAGCGAGGGTCAGGAATCCGAAGTAGCATGTGTTTGCCTTTGGGCTACGTCTCTCTAAGCTGTTGTTACCATAGGCCGTATTACTATGTGCCTTTAGATAGTTCACCAGCTAGTTCAGATTATGGGCCAACTATATTAAAATTGTGTTAGCTTTGGCTAAATCTCTTAGTCATAGTTAGTTCGTATTTCTCATTTTTGAGTTTAAACCCAAGTGGAGGCTTTGCTGTAAGCCTGAAGAAAGGGGTAGAGTAATCTTATTTTGAGTGAATAAAGGTTAATTAACCCTTCTTGAGTTTATGCTTTCTGTTCTTTGAACTAAGCAATAATTTGCTTAGCAGTTCACTAGGTTCATTCAGCACATTAAATTATGGAGCTCTATAAATGATGTTTTTTTTTAAAGATGCCCTAAATTTTTAATTTTTGATTCTCCCCCCCCCCTTAAATTTAGGTTTCAGATTTGTGCAAGTTTACATTTTAATGAATTATTTTTGGATTTTTTATTTTAGATGATTACAATGACCTGTAGTTTGCAATGTAAAAGGGAGTGGGAAGAAGAAAAGAAAAAGAAACAAGGAGTCAACGTTGAGCAGCTGTAAGGCTGCTGTTTTGAATTTTTATGGGGGAAAACAATTTTTTTTCCCTTTATAGCATTGCCAATATTATGATGTTATGCACAAAAAAATTTAACATTTAACATTTCCTTCATTTTTTATAAACGAATTTGTAAAAAGACACCTGTTTACATGACCTTACCCCCTTAATGCAGGTTACTTATGCAGTTTTTTCCCCCTTAGATTTTGAATTTCAATAATAAATGTTACATAAAATATTTATTTTAAAATTTTAACAGCAACAGAAGATATATAAAAAATATACATACTCTTTTCTTGGCATGCTCAAAACATAATGGAAGTTCATGAGAATCATAGAAGACTGGTACACTACATTGAGTATTATCAGAAAATTTAGCAGTGCAGTGTTCAAACAAAAGTTGGTCAACATTATACATAATATCTGCATACTGATCAAGGACAAAACAAAAGCATTTTATGTGTAATGATGCTAAAAAAAATTATCCAAGTTGCAACATTGTAGGAAAATTAAAATTAGTACTATGCAATTAGAAATAATTTATGTACAAAACAAAAAATTATTAAAACTTCCATAACACTGAATGAATTACAAATACACTAATATTCCAAATCACAAAAGAATTTTCATTTTGTTAATTATGCTTAAACATGAAAATAAATTACTTACACAATTAAATTCTTGGAATAAAAAAAAAAAAAAAATACCACAATTTTAAAGTATCTGTACATGAAAACTTTTCTTGTTTTATTTCCCTTAATTTTAAAATATTTGCAACTTCTACAATAACTTTATAAGTATTATTATAAAGGGTGCATCTGTTATAATGAGCATCCACTGATATATTTACATAATAGTCTTCTTGCCTAGTTTTCATAATGATCTTTTTTTAAAACAATATTTGAAGTAACTGTATTTCAATATACTGCATTAGTTCCAATGAAAATTTGCTTATGAAGCCACCCAGGCATTTATAATAATTTCAAAAGCAGATGCACACACTCTTCACATACCTATCATTTTAATAGCTTCTACAGGGTTCGTACACATTTCTGCACACGGAAATTAAGTACTTTTAAGAACATTTAAGGACCATTAATGAAAAAAAATTAAGGACCGATGATCAAATGGGAACTGAATAAATTCAATTGAAGATATTATCTGTGCCTGAATTTCACTTTTGTAATACCATCCTAAAAATAAAAAATCCCTAAGTAGTACACATTATTACTAAACATGAATTAATTAACATAACTGTTAATAAGTTTGAGAATTAAATAAACTTTATGCAATTTATTAAGTAGCATTAAATATTTTACACTTATGATAGTTGGTCATATTTGAAAGATAAGTGACATTTATGTTTTACTAACAATTACCGTTTTTTGTTGTTTGGATTCTGAATTAGTAATTACCGTTATGTTGATTTTTTTTATGTCTCATTTTGTCAAATACTTGGTCAGTCTAGAGGTTATGTAAATAAGCAGGTAGATTTTTATGTCAAACTGCATAGGTTAAAATAAGAAATAACATCATAATCAGCATGATTCATAACAAAAGACTGAATGTTGTCATCGCTGCTGCTTGTCTAGAGAGAGACCCGCTGATTAGAACAAACATGAAAAGCCTGATGTACACAAGATTGGCAAGTGTTGAAAGTCAGTCAGGCTCTGTTTGATGCAGTTAGTGTCGTAGCTTCATGTACAGTTCCACGGGTTGTTTAAAAAGAATTTAGAACAAACATAAAGGCATGTTCTGATGCTAACAAAATCAATTACAACTCACGGTGATGTAATTAAACAAGAACAGTCAAATTCAAACTAATAATGTAGACTAATGGTCAAAGATTATACAATTTAATTTTAATTTAATCTGGCTCAATAACTCTATCATATGAGGAAATAGAAATGAGAATTATAGTAAAGGTTGAAACCATAAACAAATAGGTAATTTACATAATAATATCTGTACATATCTTTGAAGAATAATTTCCTTTACGTACTCAGTTTCTTTTTTCAACACGTTTCCTTTTCATTTTAGAATTTTTGGATTTAATTAAGGATTTGTTATTCTAAAAAACACTAAATGCATTTAGAATGTACAGAAATATTGGCTAATTTTATTTCTTTAGTAATATGAACATTCAGAAACAATATGAAATATATATAGTAAAGGCCAGTTACATAGCTGATGTGGCAGAATTTCTAGAATTCAGTAACACACCAAAACAACAAAATCTAGAAATGGCAAAACTTTTAGAATTTAGAGCAAGCATTGGAAGCAGAATTTAGAAAGGCAGTAGGCAGCAGAATTTAGGATCCACAGAGATTGCATCAGGTGGGAAAATGCCTAGTGTATGATGCATCAAGAAATATTAGATGAATCCTTTAAATTGTAAGTTTTCAATTTCTTTATTAATAAAAAAATCCCTTTCTATAATGCCTGCCCATGTGATAAGATCAGAAGCATTTTTGACATTTTCCATGCTTATGTCTAGCGAAAAGTAGAGAAAATAAAGAGAAGATAAACATGTTAAGATTCTAGTATCAGAAGTAATACATTCAAATATTATGTTTTCATTGTTCTTCCAGATGTTCTCCAAAAATTAAGAAATTCAATGCAAACTTTCTGTAAAATACATCCATTACGAGTTGATACCATGGAGACATTTTTCATTTTGTCACATATTTCTCGAATCTTCTAGAATCGTAGGTCTATAAATCTTGCCTTCAAATCCTTCTAAACTTTCCAAGCTGTAATGTTTAAAATCCTAAAGAAAAATTATCCCTACCAATTCTGTAACAACAAAAAGCCAGAAATATTTTGGAAACAAAAAAGGAGAGAAAAAGTGTAAATGAATTTTATACAGAAAAGTCATGCATATTTTGAAACTTTTGAATACTCTGACTGAGACAATTACATGGGAAAAACTATTACTTTGAAAAATATATTAAAAAGAAGACATTTTTAATTAATTACATAGCTAATTTTGCTTTTGCTAAGAGCTGTTTCGTAAATTGTGCTTTATAACATTATACCTTGTTTATTTTTCAGATTTAAAATATTGTATAAGTTGCCAAAATGAAACTTTATAATATGACAGCAAAAAATAAAAATGTTTTATTTTAATGTTATTTTCTAAATATAATTTCAATACATTACCATTATTTTAATGAAATTTATCAATGTTAGGATGTTTTTAAAAAAATTGTCGAAAATTTCTCAGATTTTGGAATTAAAAAGTTTCTATAGAAACTAATCTTAAAATCGGCAAAATGTTGAGAAGTCGCCAAATTTAGAACCGCTTAATAAAAGAATTCACATCCCCAAAAGCAAAAAGTTGTTTAAGAGCTCTTTACTAGAAAAAATGAATTTCGAAATGCTTATGTTTCACTTCTTGCTTAGAAACTCGAGTATCCCACCATTTATATTAGAAATAGAAACAAATTAGAACTTATGAACCCATTCAAAAGATAACCATATATACGGCAGTGAATCGCCAAAAATATTCCTCAAAATGCTAATTCACACTCAAAATGACACTTGTAAAAACAGACAGAAAATTTCAGATGATTAAAATTAAGGACCTTCTGCTGATTTGGGCCAAAATTATGGAATTTTAAGGACCAAAAATCGATTCCAAAAACTCTTAGGACTTTTAAGGACTCTTAAGGACCGTACGAATCTTGCTTCTAAAGTAATATAGTAACTTTTCATATGCTCATATTTAAAGCTTTTATAAATTTAAATAAACCCTCCAATCAATAGTATTGCATTGTACCCTTGCAATTGCTGTACTTTACTTTACCTTATAGCTAATATTATCATAACTTTTAATATAACAGTTATGTTTTCACTTGCTAGTTAAATCAAGGTAAAGTGCTAATTATTTTTCATAATGGTGGATGTATTAAAAATACTTAGTTTATACTTGAGAATTTCTAATACAGTGAGAAATTAAAATTCCTAATGGATATTTAATCTTAGAATTCCCCATTCAGAACTCAAATAAGCCCAATGCATCGATATAAGCACAACCATAACACAGTGTTACACTATCAATATTAACTAACAGATACTAGTACAATACTAAAAGATTCCGTGGGAATTAAATGTAATATAATCGAGGAAAAAAAAAAAAAAAAAAACACTGTTTGTTAAATACAATAATGATGCAAATACTCATAAAAATTATTAAAAGAGCATATTAAAAACTCAGTTTATTTTAAATTCAATCATAATATTTAATTATATTAGATATATAATTAAAAATTAAAATAAATATTTAATTTATGAGGAATTATACTTATTGCTTTTATTGTTTATTTAATCTGTTAACTGGGTATGACGAAATTTTTCGTCATCCTGAGAAGACTATTTCAATGCGTATGACGAAATGTTTCGTCATGCTGAGAAGACTATTTCAATGGGCATGATGAAATTTTTCTTACAATCTGTCACTTGACCGTTGTTAAAAAAAAATCGATCAATGGAAACACTTGTCCGCTCATTAATTGTGATAACACTCCTAATTTGCACAACTTAATTTCATTTTAGTCTGCATTTCCGTATTTTACATATTAGTAATAACTTGTTGATTTGAGTAATTGTTAGTTTTTTATAAATATGGCTAAAAATTATTGTGAAGCAGAAAATATTTTTGAATTGTCTGAAAGTGACGATGAAATATTGCCCGGGACGTTTGGTAAACGACGTCGAATTCTAAGAATAAGTACCAGTTCGCAAGAAAGCGATAACAACTTCTTTACCTGATGGTCCGGACATTGAATCAAAGGATGATGGTGCTTATAGACCAAAATACTCAACCCACATCAGCTGAATGGAAATGTGAAAGAATACTTGCGATCGCCTTTCCCGTTTTTATCTCAATCTAGAACTCACATTTGAAGGACCTGAAGAAAAGGATTGCCTTTTTATTTCGAGAAATTTATCGATGAGAATTTTGTAGAACTTATTGGGGAACAATCAAACAAATACGCTGGACAGTTTTTTGAAAAAAATACTTTCATGAAACTGCGTTCAAGATGTCTCTCGTGGGTTGACACAGATGACCAGAGATGAGAGTATTTATTTTTTTACCAATTTTTGCAAGGAATAATAGGAAAACCTTCTTATCAGCTTTATTTTACAAAGCAAGAAAAAGTCTGGAGACTCCTTTTTTTATAAAACTATGTCAGAAAATAGATTCCAACTGTTAGTAAAATATTTACATTTTAGTGATAACAATGCTTTTGATCTAAAAGTGTGCAACAAAAAACCTACAAAATCGATTCCATTTTGAACTTATTTGAGAAACAAATTCAAGGTGTTATACGTACCAGTTAAGGAAATGATGTAGATGTAGATGAGTCGCTTTTGCTATGGAAAGGAAGACTGTCTTGGAAACAGTACATTCCATCGAAAAAAGTCAATTGGTGTTAAATTGTTATAAGAATGTGAAAGTAAATCCGGATACATAAGTGATTTCATTATATATACAGGTAAAGACACGCAGTATGGTTCGAACTATCCAGAAGAACAGGGACCAAATCGTATTGTTCTTGAACTGTGACACGATTTGTTGGATAAGGGATATACGCTATATCTCGATAATTGGTATACTGGTACTGATCTAGCTGAGAAGATGTGCAGAAGAAAAACCGATGTTGTAGGAACAGTGCGAAAAAATAGAAAGGGAATACCATCTGAAATAAAAAATTGTGTTTTGAAAAAAGATTAATACATTGCTAGGTACAGAGACAAAATAATGATTATGAAGTGGAAAGACAAAAAGGATTTAATTATATTGAGTACTATCCACGACAATAAGTTTGTAGAAATAGAAAAACGAAGGAAACCGATATCAAAACCGGAAGTTATCGCTGGCTACCAGAAAATAGGGGAGGAGTTGATCTGCTGACGGACAAATGAAACTTATGAAATCGCTAAAAACCAAGTAAAAAAGTATTACTATAAGATATTTTTACATGCACTAGACATGGTGTGTTGTGAATGCATATCTTTTATACAAAAGATGGTGGTCACCTAGATAGGCTTCATTTCCTTATCGAAACTGTAAAAAAGGTGTTGAAAAATATAGTAGACGGATCACAGTTTGCCATCTACTAGTACAGGACGATCATCTTTGACAGCAAAACCATCTCGACTCTTTGAAAGACATTTTGCAGACTATATACCATCCGACTCTTCAAGAGTAAATGTAACCAGGAGATGCAAATTATGCTATTCCAAAGGTCTTAGGAAAGAATTGAGATTTTGGTGTCCCGACTGCAGTGTTGCTTTATGTATACCGCATTGCTTTAGAGAATATCATACAAAATAATTGTTTAAATTCATTCAATTAATTTGTTTTTCTGGATTAAAAATGTTTAATTTTAATATTTAATATCATTAAATATTTTAAACGATTTTCTTTATTTATTCTTGCGATGTGCTGAAATTACTGCAAAGGAAAAAGTCCCCATTGTGAAACGATTTTACTGAAAGCTTATTCCCCAGTTAACAGGTTAAATCACTTTCATGGACCTATTTACATGCATATGCATAGCTCTTATAGTTGCATATGGAGAAATCCAGGCAAACATTCGCACAGTCAATATATTAGCAGGATTTAAACCTGGTGCTCAACAGTCTTTCTTATCCATTCAGTCAACAGTGGGCCCATTGATTGCTTTTAAATTACTTCGTTATTTAAAAGATACAATTTGGCAGATAAATTAAAGATCTTACATCATCAAAATTTAATGAGAATCATCAACTTTAATGAGAATTCTCTTAAAACTGATTATTTGCAAATTTCCGTATTTTGATAAGCTGTATAAAGACAAAAAATTTTGTCTAATACAACAATAACACTTGCTAAGTCATGTAGGCAAACAGCATGGTAATAAAGTGCAATAGTGCCCAAATCCTAGAAAAACTACTTTACAGGTATTTCTAAAATTAAAAATATAATTAGCCTAGACAGAAGTAACATCACTAATGAATATTGTCAGCTTATGTTTGTATTATAAATAATATGGCTGATAAAGATAAATACATAATTTATAAGTTATAGAGTTTAATATATATAAATTTGTAAATAACCTACTGTAAAAATGTCACATATTACAGCAGAACTAAACGACTAAGTCTCATGATCCCAAGGTTACAAATAATATTTAAATACAGAATTCGCTGTCACAGCAGGACAAAAGAAGTGGTCACCATCCATAAAGCGAGATTTGCAAGTACATGTAGAAGTGGGCAGAAGCCAGAAATTCACCACTAGTTACAGAGATACAGTGCCAAAGCACTAACTGTGTAGTGATGTCCCAATTTTGAAGGAGAATGCTCTATTGACTGGTCCAAGGGTCTCCCATGAGAGGAGTTTGGCTCAACATGTATTTTGAGTGCTCCCTTGCCGCACAGACACTTACAAACATTCATGCCTTTTCCGGAATTCGAACCTGTGCTGATCATTATGGCAGTTAGTGTCATGTCATTAACTACTATACCAGTTAAGCTGGAACTGAGGGAACACTAGGGCCTATACATGCTAGGGGACTGTACATTTATAATAATCCTGCTCAAATAGGCAGCCAAGTAGCAGTAATGCCCAATTGCCAGTTGGAATGCTACTTTTTCACTGCCTTGAGGGCAATCTAGTAAATTATTAAAATCCTTGCTCCAGACTTTCTTTTTAATAAAATTTTGGAGATAATAAGGATAAAAACAGGAACTTTTAACTTACAGTCTATGGTCTAACAAGAGGCACTTTGTTAGAGGCACTTTGTGTTATTTCGATAACTTTCTTTGCCAGATCAACCCACTACCTCATTTCCAGGTTTGCTGATTCTCTTATCATTATTAAAAATAAAAATTTTAAAACAGAATACGATGCAAAATAGCAGTTAATAAAATATTATTACAGTATGGAGCAAATTCATAAGTTATTAGATGTAACAAGTTAAGTTCACCTATTTAAAATTTTACTTTCATGTCTTAAAATTATGCAGAGCTATACAGCTATGACAAAAAGGATACGTTTCTTGCAATGCCACGTGTACGGAAGGGCTGTATTAGTACAAATTACATCATCTTGTTTAAAACAACAAGTTTTCTTTGCCAATGGCACTGGTTTACTACTACAAAATAATAATAAAAAAAAAATAATGATTAAAGTTTAAACTATGAATAACATCAAATTTAAATGAGTATAAAAATAAGTGACTTTTGAAGTTGAGTTTAAATTAAGTGTTAGGCAGGAAAAGAAAAAAATTGTAAGCAACATGAAAATTCATTAAAAACAGGTATCTAAATAAAACAGATTAAATAATTGAATAATCCCATTTATTTTGTATTTTGTGAAATAAAAGTGTCTATATTTGATACCATAATTCAGTGGTTCCCAAATGGTGTGCATAGCACCTTGGGTTGCCACCAGTGTGATGAACTATGAAAATCTTAACAAAGTGCTCAGACTTTATGGATTTTTTTTTTTTTTTTTTTTTACAGAACAGCTAATATAAATGAATAGGACCTCATAAAACTTTTCAATAAAAAATTTTTGAAAAAAATTAAAAAGTCAAAATTAAACATTGCATATTTCCTTGCATATTTATCCTCTTTCCTCCCCCTTTTTTCTTGACTAATCTCATTGTCGAAAAATCAAGAGAGGAAAATTATGTGCATAATTTAATTTCCAAAGGATGTAAAGATGTAAGAACATAACAAATGACATGAAATGATAGATAAACTACAAGTAACTAACTATCAGAACATTATTTTGCGAAAAGAAACCTACATTCTAATAATAATACACAACATTACAATATCTAATAAGATATCTTCATTCCTACTTCCCAGTAACATAAATCATGCCTGTTCTTATTGTTGTCTCTGCTACTGCTTAGGCTTCAAATCATCCGTAAATAATTAGATAAAGTGAAGATGCAGCTGACTCATGAATGGAAAAGTTATGTGTGATATCAAGAAATAGCTTGCAATGTTTTGCGATTTGGAAAACAATCACTATGTGCATAAATCCATTTTCAAAAGGACAATTACACAAATATTTTTTTTAATTTTCAGAACTTAGTGCTAAAAAATGCTAAGGGGGGAAATATGTGAGAAATACTGTAATTAAAAAAATTCTTAACATACGATTTAGGATCAAGTTCTTTGGGTGGTTTCCTGTTTAAGTGCATTGCGGCTAAATCTGGAATATGCTGTATTGTTAAAGAAAAGCTCCCTGTTGTGGAAATTTCATTTGCCGAGGTGAAAGCTCATTCAGCTTCAAAGCTACTAAGGGTGATAGTCTTCATAATGACTTTAGCACATTTTTTTTTTTTAATGCTATTAGGAATTTGACATATGGTTTCCTTGTTAAAGCATTTCAATGAAATTCTGAAAATCATTTATTTTATGTTTAAATATGAAATTTAAACTATTCGCATTTTTTTTTTTTTTTTTCCTCCCTGGGTGCAGGCATGCTGTTTTTTCTATTTTTCAGTTCTACAAACATAGATATAGTTCAACCGCCTCTTCCGCGACCTTGAACGCAAACACACACGTGCTATTCAGACCGAATTATTCTCAAAAATAGGGTAGAAGGATGGAGAATTTCTTTCCCTCAAGCATATAAAGTCATAAGAGAGGACTTTCATGTGATCTTTCTTGTCGTAGCAAGTAATACCACCCCCTTTAGACGAGTCTATGTGTTTCGACAGAATACCAGTCAAGGTTGCGTTTGAGACGGTCGAACTATAACAGATATAGATAATCACTTTTTGATCTTTTAGCCTATTTTCCTTTTTTAGTTTATTGCAACAATCTATCCAAGACATCATGAGGCAGTATAGTAATTTTCATCATGGTAATCTGCAAAATTTATTCTGGCTTACAATCATAGCCTCCCAACTTCTTTGATTTTTAAATAGAAAGAATTATTTCTTTTAACCCTTTGCGGCTTAGTGTTCCACTACATGGAACACCCAAATTGAATTGCTTCTGAAACTTTTAAATTCATCTGTAAATAGATAAAAATGCCTTTATACTTTAAACTTTTCTTTTTAAATAGTAGATAGCAACATATCACAAGGAAACACAGAATTTTCATTTATTATGTGTTAATAAAATCCACTTTTTTTCAAGTAATTTTCTCTATTTTTTAATAATATAAAAAATTTTATTGGAAAAAAAATTAGGCATAATTGCTGGCTGTACTCCAAATATTTGTTTATATTTTTTTTTAATCTTCATCAAAAAACCATATGCAGAATAATTGAATGAAACCAGGTGTTCCATTAGCGATAACACCGCGCCTTTGCGATCTCATGCGTTACAATCAGAACAGGTGGCTTAGGAGAGAACATCATGTTTACGTTTTCTGTTTTCGTTGTTTTCGGGGGGGGATGAATTAAAAAAGCGGTATTGAGGGATGAATGTGTTTTGTGTTTGAAAGCCCTAATATTGGCATCTCGAATTTTTGGGAGTAGTTTTTAAGCGGGGTGTGTTAAACTAATTTGGAGTTTGTAGCTGTATCTTTTTAACTGCTCGATTTTCTGTTTATTTTATATTTCCGTTATTTTTCGTTATGTATATATTATAGGCTTATTTTCTTTATTGTTAATATTAATCGTATTTTTTTTTTTATTATTTATTTCCATAAATGGCGCGGAGAGGTCAACTATTTCCGAAAAATTTTAAATATCTTTGTTATAGGACTTGTGTATATAGATATTTATCTCTAATAAACAAATAAATAAACAATAATATTAATTTTTTTTTTTTTTTTTTTTTTTTTTTTTGGTAAATTTTGATACCCTTTAGATCATAATTGCTCTTTATTTCATAAATTGCGGTTTCATATTTTTAATTTCTGCATGCCATCTTACCAGATTTAAACTGATGATTTATAATCTGGAAAAACTGATAATCCAGAATCGCCGAAGTCCCGACCAGTCTGGATCAAAGACTTTTGACTGTATATCAAAATACTAAAAGTTTGACCAGATTCAAGTGGGATTACAATCTGTCTTTTGAGGATGCACACTATTCCATTCACAAAGAGCTTCTTTATTCTTTTATGAATTCTGTTTATGGATTAGCTTATGGATTATTACCAACTTTTAGAAATTTATTAAATTGAAACTATCTAATCAACTAGTTTCACCGAACATTTTAATAAAACTAAAAAGATTCCCTTCATTTTAACATGCACATTAACACCAAAATCAAACCATTATTACATTTATTATGAGGGGACTTACATTTTCTTTTGCTTTGAGGAGCCTTTTAAATGATTTATGAGAATTTCTGTCGCTTCATTAGGATAAGCTCGAGCAGCATCAATAAGAGGCTGTACAATTTCTTGCCGCTGTTCTTTCTCTTGCTTGTGAAGAGTATGCAAGCGACAAAGCTGATGATAGCTCCTCAACAATTCTGTTTTCAACTGAGAACGTTGAGCTGATCGTGAATCAGATTTCATATTTTGCAAAGAACTGTAAATAAAAGATTGGAATTATATTTTATTTTCATGACATATGCATATAACTTAATATCAAAATAAAATGGCATAATAATTACAGTGCCAGAATTTTTTAAATAATAATTTAAAAATAATAAACAAATAAAAAGAAAATAATTTTACTCAGTAACAAATTTTAAAAAACTTTATACAGTAATATGCAAAAAGATGCATAGATTAACAGTGCCTAAAAGAAAACACAATCATCTATCTGGGTTAAATATAAAATGTCATATATCCTTCTGCCATCAGCCAAATAGTGATTTAACAACATTTAAAAAAAAAAGAAGTAATCAAACTGCAATCAGCCAAATCGTAATTTAACAACATTTAAAAAAAAAAGGTATCAAACTACTTTATCTCAGGTATTAACATTCTACAAATGTTTAAATCGAAATCCTGTCCATCTCATAAACTGGCTCTTTGTGCTCTCCTTCTCTTTCACCAGCAGTGAGAAGCAAACTAATTGGTTGACAGTGAACAGGTACACTGTGTAAAAGGGAAAAAAAAAGGAACAGTTCTATATCTTCTGTTCTACTGGGCTGATTGATGAAATTCAAATTCTGTTTTTCATGTCTCGAAAGCGTGACTTAGGATATGTATTAAATTTATATATAGCATTATTCTAATACAGGTTTCTTGACACAAAATCAGACTTTTTCTGAAATGACATGCTAATTTTTTTTCCATATTTCGATTCTACAACTCAAATTAAGCCAAACTGCTAATTTTTGCAAAAACTGCATGAGTAGTTTTTAAAGAATTAGCTCTCAAAATTTTAGCTCCTTAATGTTAATTGAATTTGATATATAGTTATTAATATCTCTTTTTTTTATTAAACTTAGGTGATTCTTCCTTTCACATTTCGAAATTTAGGTTAATTCCAAATAAAATTCACCCATTTTTTTATGATTTACTTCTAAAATTAGTATTTTAAAATATTTTTTATAAATTTTTCGTTTACCATTATCTTAAAGTAGATGTATTTCTAAGCACTCAAAATTTCTGAAGATATACATGAACTTATATATTGGTGCGTTTTAAAATTTGTCATATTTGTTTAAAGCGATAACAACAACAAATGTGGTTTAGGCAATTTGTTAAAATTATTTGAAAGTAGGAACGATGTGACTTTTTTTACCATCCTGCATAATGGAAGGGAAAGGAAAATAGGTTGCGACATATTAAGAAGTTTTCCAAGTGAATTATTCTTGGCGCAAACTGAAAAATTGCGGCAAGATAGATTTTTGAATTTCTCCGTAAATTTCGCAACAAATTTTACAAAATTTAATATTTAGCAGGGTTGCCATGCTACCTGAAAAACCAGGAAAAGTCAGGGAATTTGAAAATTGACTAAAAAAAGTCAGGGAAAAACCAGGGAATTTAAATATTTTAGTCAAAATCTGGAAAAGTCAGGAAATTTCATACAGCAATCCCCCAAAAGGTGATTTTTACGACAGCGATCACTTTCTTGGCGAATTATGTATCGTGTGAGCATCATTCGGGCAGCCAACATAGAGCCAGTTTTTGTAGCTCCAATCACACAGATTGCTTTTCAGAAAGGCAAAAGTAAGTTTCCAGCAAGCTCTAGAATTGAGAGATTTGCACATGCATCTGCAATGCATACTGAACTAAAGAAAATACCTTGCCATTCTCGTACAAAACAAAATCGGTTTAATCCTACTATACAGTTCACATGGGATTTGGGAACACACATTACGCAGATACACTGGAATTTCCTTAAAACGCACCTGGAAAAATCAGGAATTTCATTCTCCTGTTTGAGTGGCAACCCTGATTTAGGGATAATTTGAGTCGTAGAATTGAAATATGGAAAAAGAATTGGTATGTTATTTCCGAAAAAGTCCCATTTTGTGTCAAATACCTTTGTTGCTTAACGAGTAAATTATAGGTTCGAAAATCTGAGCTGACAC